CTGCTATAGACCCACAAGCACTGGTAGTTGTGTAGAGAGTGCCAGATTTCTTACCACGTACAATGGTCATAGCGCCTCTGGAAACTTTCCACAAGTCTCCATTGAAGGTTGTAACAAAACCTTCATCTGACAATTGTCCTACCGAAATGAGATTCTTCCTCAAGTCAGAGATGTGTCTCATATCCTTTAACTTCCAAGCTGACCCATTCAACTTGATTTGCACTTCACCCTTGCCAATGACGCTGCAAGGCTGGTCATCTCCAAGATACACCTTACCAAGGTTACTCGATTCATAGCTATTAAATAGCTCTTTGTTTGAGGTGCCATGAAACGATGTGCCGAAATCTAAAACCCATGACTCCGCCTTGCTCTCCAAAGAGCATATCAATGCATCATCTGATTCTTCTGAGATAAAGTTTGCTTCAGTTTTTCTTTCGGTTCCCTTCTTTGGAAGTCTGCAATCAACACGGTAATGTCCCTTTTTTTCACAATTCCAACACTCAACTTCATTGAGATCTGTGGAATTCCTGAAATTTTAAGACTGTGTCCTTCCATTCCTTGACTTGGCTCTGCCTCTGTTTCTATTATTGTTGCCCTTCTTCTTGTTTGAACCCTTGCCTCTGCTTTCAACATTCAACGCCGAACCACTAGTGGAAACCCCTGCTGTTTGCCTTCTGATTTCTTCAGTCAGAATCATGCTCACAACTTCATCAAACTTCAACTTGGTCTTCCCTACAGAGCTACTGATCACTGTAACTGTGCCACTCCAACTCTCGGGTAACTGCCCTAGAATTAGCAGTGCTCGGACCTCGTCTTTGAAGTCGATATCAACAAACTCTAATTGCCCAACTATCTCGTTAAACGCATTTAGATGTTCGTTGAACTTACCACCTTCGACCATCTTCATGTTGAACAACTTCATAATTAAGTGCACCTTGTTTGCTGCAGAAGAATGTTCATACATACTAGAAAGGGCTGTTATGAGAGACATCGTCGTCTTCTCGTTCTTGATGTTGAAGGTGACTAACTTTGACAACGTCAATCTAACGGTGCCAAGAGTCTTCCTATCAAATAATTCCCAATCTGCATCATTTGTATCCTCTGGCTTCTCTCCCAAAGGTTGATACAGATTTTTCTGAAACAAGAGGTCTTCAATTTACATCTTCCAGAAACTAAAGTTTGTGCCATTGAACTTCTCGATCATGGATGTGGATGTCTTATCTTCTGATGCCATTACTCCCACTTGAACGGACAGATCTGATCGAAAGACTTTCAGAATTTTGTTAAACACCTTCTGTGCCCTAGGTTCTCAACCAAAGGCTCTGACGCCAGTTGTTAGAGTTACACTACACAATCAACCGGATTTGATACCAGTTGTTGTGGCAGAAACGCAAAATAAACAACACCGTTCAAGGAATAAACAAGCAATCACGAAGAATAAAAAAATCACACACAAGAACACAAGATATACATGGTTCACCTAAATCTTAGGGCTAAGTCTATAGAGCACACCGAACAAAATCACTATGAAAAAGATGAAGAATTACAAAGAGAATTCTCTCTCAATCTCTCTCAATTGCTCTCTCTTGTATTGGCACACTTTTATCTCTAACTTTCACCCTTATTTATAGAGTCCCAAACTTGTCCTACAAGAACTTGCCTTTTGTAGAATCCAAAGCCAATAAGGAAATTAAATCAGATCAAGAAACTGAATTTTTCTTAAACCAATAAGGAAGTCAAATCAAATTAGGAAATTGAATTTTCCCTGACAGATTAGGAAACTGAATTTTCTCTAAAATTCTGTACTCTTAAAGTTTCCATATAATTAAATCTTCCTAAAAATCTTCCACCTAATCAGACTCCACAAAACCACAACACTTATTCATATCTAGAGTAACTCTGGGAGTAATGAAAGGAATGGACGAGTAAAGATCATGGAAGTAATCCTCTGCCACCTTATGGATATCATCTTTAGAATCTTTCCATTGACCCCAAGAGTCCATCAGACCAAAAATCTTATTGTATGTACATAGAATAAGTGTTTGTGAGACCTTAATAATTTACCATCCAAGCCTACATATATAGGCATATATATCAATAAGAATACATCATTATTTTGTACACACAAATTTCGTGTCTGAAAATTTAGAAACTAAAATATAGACAAATAATTAATTTTATTAATTTTTAAAAAATAGATACAATTATCTGTGGTCTATTATATTACAACTAGAATTTTCCTCTAATTAAATCTCCTTGAAAAAATCGATACAAAGGCTTCGGAAGCTTGATCTTGAACCGGTGCTTGAACTTTTCTTTTGAATAAGGTTTGACTGGATTTCTAGTAGAGGGCCGATGAGGCTTGATCTCGAACAGTGAATTGAAGTCTTTTGAAGAAGAACGACACTTGTGTGGTGTGATTGTTGTTCATTGCATTCAAAACTTCAAGGTTTGAATAGTTTCGATGAAGAACGATACTTGTGTGGCGTGTTTGTTGTTTTTCGCCTTCAGAATTTCAATGTTTGATGGCTTTCATAAAGAACGGCACTTGTATGGCGTGTTTGTTATTCTTCGCCTTTAGAACTTCAGGGTTTGAATGGCTTAGAAGAAGGACGGCACTTGTGTGGTATGCTTGTTGTTTTTGGTTTTGAGAGACTTTGGAATGCTTTTTAGACAAAAATTTGGCCCGAAATGTGTAAGGTGACCTTATATTTATAGGCGTTTCATTTGGAACTACTCAATGATTATGATAAATTCTCTAAATCAAGATATATTTATTTCTATGTATTTAGAAATAATTTACAGTTTAAATTTGAATGGTCACATTTCTTTACATGTATGGATCCTGACTCATGAATTGACTAATAGTGTTTAACTTGACAGATCAAACAATAATTAGGCTATCCTAAAATTTAAGTATCTACATATTTAACCGTTAAAACATATCCAAAGTTTTCTTTATTTTTCTCTGGGTTAAATAAATACAAAAATGTACCTAATAGAGTTGGAACTCCTCATCCTTATGACTCATCAGATTCGCCGATTGATATCATGATTTGATAAGACATCTTGTAATGGTGCCCTATATTATTTTGCATCAACAAACTTACAGGCAGTCAGTAATGAAAATGAATGTGGGTAAAATTTCCAATAAGTAGACACAGGACGGGATCTAGTTTATTCCAATATCCCATCTGAAATATCAAACAAACATTATATATAACTAAATAAACAGAAATCATATAAACCATATTAAATATATATATATATATATATATATATATATATATATATTCACTCAAAACTTGAATGAGCATTGAATTAAATTAAATGATGTATAAAAAAGTTTTTCTCAGGTGAAAAGTATGATTAAAAAACATTCATGTTATATTCATGTTGATCACTATAAAGACCTTATAGGTTGAATCCACCGCACATGCAAGTTGGGTGGGTCTAGTATGAGAGGGAGAATAAGCTGACTGGTTAAATATCATGTGGAGAGTATAAGGAGAATCTTATTTAGCCAGTAGCAGCTTTATATGGGCTTTCCTTTTGTTGAGCAAGGCCCACTTACCCTCCCCCAACAACTGCTTAGCCCAGTTCCTGTAGATGGGGTCTGTATTGGTCCTCAATATTGGAATAGTAAGTGGGCTCAACTTCTCCATATTAATCAGCAAATAGAATATCTTTTTGCCCCTTTTTTTTTTTTTTTTTTTTTCCTTTCCTTATAATTTGTTTTTGTACCTTGTTTTTATTTTTTATTTTATATGAGCTGTGGATTTTGAAAAATAACAAAGGAGAGGCTCTCCAGTAGAGTTACATTTTAAGGGAGTCATTTTCACCGGATGATTTTAATACACTGAAAATGGTGAAGAACATTTCATCTACATATAGAGCCTATTAACGAGATTATTCACCATTTGAAAGTCCAAGTGCATCGTAGAAGATCCTAATTACACACCAAAACGAAAATATCAACATCAAGTCAATGGGAAGCTGTTCCGCTCATAAAATTAATCATTTTTCAAATCTAATACTTCAGCTATTTGTTCATCAATAGTAGTTGGTTATTGTTTGACAGTTTATTTGTATAAAAATAATTAGTACGCAAGCTTATATTTTAAATTAGAGTGAAAAATTGATTTGACATACAACCATATTTTATGAAAATGTCTCTCTCTTTTACCTCGAACATTTTTTTCAGTTGTTTAGTTAGAGAAACATTTAAAACTGCAGGATTCAACTCTTAATTGCGTCACGCAATGATAATATTGAAAATTAAGATAGAAAAAATTAAAAATAAACTAACCAGATGAGTAATTTTATATTTTCAAATGGAGTTGGATGAAGAGAAATGGCAAATCATCAACCTGTCAACGCATGCTTGCTACCGACTACACGCGAATCTGCGATCAAGTCATAGACAAATGCAAGTGAGATTAGTTAGCTGACAATACGAAGTTTCTTATCTAATTAATTAATTGTTTTTTATATATAGTTTTCAGTGCAAGAGATCATATTCAGTGATCTAAGTGGGGATTTTATTAAATTAAATAAAAAAAATTAGAAGCAAAACTTCTTCCAATGTTAATACTATAATGGTTATATAAAATAATCAATTATTGGCATAAATTAAGTTTTATCTTCCAAACACCAATGTCCAGACACTCAAAACAATGAGAAACGATGAACCCGCATATGCTCCGGCATGTGTAGGCAATTATATCGTCCAGAACTCTAGGCCAGGGTTAATTTTTGGTAAATCTGTTTTTGATAACAATGGGTGTTTTGTGATCCAACACAAAATTTATGTTGTGTGACTAACACCCAATCCATTTAAACTTATTTTATTTCTATTTGAAATTTCGAATTCGACGTGGAACAAGAATTCTCTTATAACACCACTGTAAAAAAAAGTATTAATTTTTTCATAAGAAAATGTTTTATTTACTAATTTGTCTATGTAAGTAGTTTTTTTTTTTTAGTTTTCTTTGATGGGATAAACATATAATTAACAATTTTATAAAAAAATAATACAAAGATTGCTTAGCATTTGAAACCATATAAGAAAATTCAATATACACAAGGACAATGATTGGTCAGCTGAGCTTGCTAACCCTTAATTAGTTATGTGATTGTGATACAAATTAGAAACTACAATACAAATTTTGTGTCTAACTCTATGATGATTCAAGAGCTTTGTAGATCACAACGAAACAAGGAAGGATAGCCCTCGGATTGAACACGTGTAACTCCTCGATATTCGAGTAAATTCCCGCGTACCCGGCTACCGAGTCGTACGACGACGAACCGAGCGACACGCTATCCTCATCCGGCGCCGCATCATCCGCCATATGCCTCACCCTTCCCGCGATCACGCGGCACACCAGCATCGCCCTACGACCGTCCGCACAAGCCAAACAGTCGTGGGCCCTACCGCTGCTCGCCATGGTGCGGACCCCCTTGCCATCGCACCCGCTCGATTTGGATTTGCCTTGAAATCCGTGCCTGATGATCGTGCACACGCCACAAGCCGGTGCGGAGCCGCACAGAGAAGACGAGCCACGTGCGCCGAGGGCGCACGCCAAGGTCGTGCAGTGGAATCGTAGCAGCTCGTTGCCGTCGGCGGCGCACCTGGGGTTTTTTCTGGTGGAGGTGGTCGCACGGATCTTCACTGCGTCACGGCAGTCCTCGAACCGTTGGATGGTGCGCTGGGTGTTGTGGACTTTTAGTATCCGTTCGATCTTGCAGATTGGGTTGTCTTTCTTGAGCCAGCTTGATTTGAAGATGATCTCCACGATGTTCCGACCCGAATCATCCGGACTCAGCTCCGAAACTGTACCATAACACGAGAGTGAATTACAAAAACATCCCTATAGAAACAGTTAATAATACTGGACCTGTATGATTTCTGAGCATGTTATGTTTTGTCGGTAGGTCAGGTAACAGAAACTTCTATAATTGGGGGCGACCAATAGATGACCAATGGAATACAACCACGTCGTTCTTTTTTTGGGCCAAATGCAAAAGTTCTTCTTCGCCTACTTCGAATCCATAAAATGACAGCTGTAATTGTATAATTATTTTTTGGATTATTACTATCATTTACTGCGTATGTTATTTTGAGAATTTAATGGTGCCTATAAAGTGGTATAATGACTATTCCATGAGAGGAGTACTACTACCTATTGTTGGACAATAATTGTTGTAATTTTTATTTATTTTATATTATACTCCATGTTACAATTATTGTGATGAGTTGAAAAATCAGCCAGAATTGTTCATGTAAATTGTAATGGGTTATCTACAATTCGTCCAAAATGAGCATCTGTTCATGGTTTCCTAATGTGTTGTTAGCACTCTACTAGACAATTCACTAAATTTACATTTAGAACACACTTGTTGTGTTGTGTTATTTTTTTATTATTATTTAAGATAAGAGGTGTCAGAAGTTAGACCGGTAGATACAGATAGTCGAAACTTAATACTCCAAATTTCATGAAAAGCACGCACTGATCTACTGAACTATCGAAATATATGCCATACATGTTATGTGTAGCAACATCGAATACGTACATCAAATTTCAAATTAAAATAAAAAAAATAGTTTAATATTTTTTACAATTTCAAATCCACACTACTCATTTAATACTGCCAAACATAACATCACATTAATTTACTTTTTACTATCATAAAATCATCCTCAATTGTTATTTTGTGCAATAGCATAAGTTTGGAATTTATGAGAGTCACTTCAAATAAATAGTATCAAATGTTATCTAGCTAGTATCCAATTCACTCCTTCCAATATCTAGGGGAAAAAAAAAAAATCACTCCTTCCAATGCTTTCAATTTATCTTCAAAATATAAAGATGAAATCAATGCTCATATAACTCTGCTCAGGATTTCCTTCTGTGAATGATTTACATCATTTCAGAAGTAATGAATATCAATACAATCTTGATATATATAATTGAATCCAAGTTATAGATATATAGTTGACTTGGCACGTATATAAGAAGATGAAAAGCATGTCCATTAAAGATGAGAGGTCAATTTACCATGTCTTTATCAATATATATATTAATACAATGGAAACTAAATTTTTTAGAGATTGACCGATTGTCATATGATCAGTAATATCTTGACCTCAAATTTTAATCATCCTTATCATCTACACAAGTAAAATCAATTTTGATTAAAAAACATAAAAACCTATTTGAATAAAAAAATTTAATGGGTCATTAATCCAATAGTATCATTTCAGGTGCGATTATGCAATCCAAAAAAAAAAATGAAATAAAAATTACCAGCATGCCTAACAGCTTGATGTAGCTCCAAGCTTTCAATTTTGGGAAAAACCTCTCCACATTCAGAGCAAGCACATAGAGTAGTCCTTGGAGATGGATACCTATAATTTCATTTCAATTTATAATTATAACAATTGATACCTATATATATATATATATATGTATTTATGTATATATGAATGTGTGAGTGTATATATACGTATATTACCTGCTAGGATCAACGATCATGTGACATTCATAACAGCCAGAGAGCTTCCTGAATTGCATGGTTCTTGAAGAAGACGAGGACGTGTAAGTAGGTCCACCGTTGGATTTGACTGAACCGGATAAAGACCCTGTGGAGGATGAGCCTGAGCCATGATGACCAGCTTTCCGGCTGAGCAGCCCTGTTTCCAGACCCACAGTGCTACTCTCCGGCGAATTGTCAGCTCTGTGAACCACTCTGGTGTTGCCATGAACTACGTCCCTGAAACTGCAAATAGAGCTGCAATTATACCCTAGCTTGGAGTACCCTTTAACGGTCTTGGATGGATCGTGAACTCTGGACCCTTCGATCTGCTTACAGGTGAGGAGGTTCTTGATTTGGTCCCACGAAGATGGTTGCTTCTGCTTCTGCTTCTGCTTCTTGACGTGCTTTTGCTTTCGCTTTGAGGATTGTTTTTTGGGTTCTGAGGGCTCGGGTAAGGAAGTGAGGAGTGCCATTAAAAGCAGAGAGAGAAAGTAAATTAAAGAGAGAGAATTGTGTTGCAGAAGCAAGCTCTAAAGAGAGATGCTTTTGAAAGTTGGAGAGTGTTTCTTTATTAATGGAGAGAGAGGGATCCGAGATGGGTAATAAGGAGTGAGGAGGCAAAGTGAATGGTGGTGGGTCAATAGTCATTTAACACTTGGTTTATTATTCCAGTTTGCTTCTCTGCTTTTTGTATTAACTCTTCTTTTGTTTGGTTTTTGTAATTATTATTTTATTAATTAGCTACTGTTGCTATTTTATAGTCTCATCTTCATGGTTGACTTTTTTGCTGATCACTTGATCGATGGAGAGAGTTCATCAGATTATGATTCAGTAAATATTACCTAGATGTGTGCAGCAGATGATTTTATACGCGATTGTATTGTATTGAATTATACATACGCGTGATTATGATAAAAAGTATCATATTGTACTACTCATGTAAATAATTGTGACAGTGACATATAATCCGTGTTATATTACAGTGGACGACTATTTAAAATAGAGACGGTAGACATTGTCATCGCATAAGTAGGATTAATGGAGGGATGTTGCCGGTTGCTTTGCATTGCCAATATAAAACTAGGCATGTGGAGTGTTTGGACGGCTGTTTGGCCTATACTGGTATAGACTAGGATGAGAGTTGGAGTTGTTCTCTTATTTTTGTTGCTTTCTTTGTTTGTGTCTGTTTAAAGTGTGACATTATCAAATTGTTACTATTTGCAGTCAAATGGCAATCTATTAGTCTCTCCCCATTGCAAAAGTTTCTTACTCTTCTCTATTTCTAATAAGTAGCGACAAATTTATAATCAAGATAAGAGTTCTCTCTCTCTCTCCACTATGTACCAGCAACTAGTTCTAGTCAACTGACAAACTTATTATAGTCTCTTCTCAGTCCAATTTTTGTTTTTTTACTCTTCAGTCTTCGCCAATGATAACTTTTTAGAAAGTGGTGGCAAAAATTATCTAATCAAGTTAGTTTGCTTTTTCTATTTCTTTTGGTTTCTTTTCTTCTTCTTCCTCTTCTTCTTCTTCTTGTTTTTTTTTTCCCATCTGGCATCTTAATTATTACTTAATGAGCTTTTACTATTTACTGTGCAAGCTACTAAAATAGCTTTAATAATATCAACCTTCAATGATGTGTTATTCCATGTGCGAGGTTACTTAAAAGGAGATAAATTAATCATTTCATGAATAGCGAAATTAAGAGCCCGTGATAATAACTTCAATCATTGATCTCCCTTTCTTTTTCGCACGGGACAAACATCTTACACAAATTTACATCATCTCAAGAGGGAGGTTACACGAGCCAAACCAATAACCTGGTGGACTGGTATGTCGTTTTTATTTTTAATTTTTTTGAATAATGATTTGAAATTCAACTGATTTATACGAGTAATGGCTGACATCATTCAGATGTCATTAATATTTAAGATTTAACGGTGACATCGACACCGACTCACATAAAATTAGTCGTATATGTTCGATTGTCGAACTACTTATCAAAACTCTTTTTCTTTTTTTTTTACCAAATAATAAAATAAATTTAATTTGCAATGTCACAGTAGATATTTGGTTTTTAGGGCATGGATAAATGGGGGCACATTCTTGAGATTCGAAGAGGAAGCTGCTAAAGGAAAAATGGAAGCAAAGAGGACACCATATAATACACCAAGAAGGAATAGTTGGTGAATACCATGCCAACTTCCTATCTTCCAATGTCTTCCCCACTATCCATTTTTTGTGGAACAACCAAATTCGACAAACACATCCCCTCTTTTCTCTGCATACCACCAAAAATAGTTCTATCAACATGACATGCACTATTCCTAGTCTTGGCTCTTAGCACCCAGCTGTACCTGAAATGGAATGTGCAGTTTGCCAAAACTGACCACTTCACTATTCCCACTCACTCCCACAAGTTTAGTACGAACATGTGTGAGCATTTTTTTTTTTAAAAAACTTCTATAAGATTTTAATGGTGACATGATATGTGTCGATAGCCACATTGTCGTTTCATAAATGTTACGACGGATTTAGAAAAAGAAAAAAGATAAATCTAAACCCTTCAAAACTTACGCTTTTAAAAGATTACTTCTTTATTATAATTAAGATTGGATATTTTAATATTGATAGCCTTTTTTAATCGAACTCATGTTCTTATCAAGATATTAGCCGTGTTATCTCTTTTCCTTCTAAAAGTGAAAGATAGGGGTTCAAATCTCCCCAAAGCAAGAGTTATTTGCCAAAAATAAATAATAAATAATCAAACCCATGTTTTGAACTCCACTAAATACAACTTATTATTTACCAATTTTAGTATTCATTGATGGAGTGTTGGATGGTGCACGTATAGGTTTTAAGCCAATGACCTCATTTGACCACTACATTTGAAAAATAATAAATAATAAATAAATAATAAATAAAAACAGAAAAATAAAAAAATCTAAGTAGTTATCAGTTGTCTCTAACCCACTAGTCAAGTAGGTCACCCCATGAAAAAGAATATCTGATCAATAAAATTGGGGTAAAAGAGCATCTAAATTAATTGGAGTGGTTAGAAGTGAGATATAGGTTTGGCCAACCATTTGCTAAACAGAGACAGATCAACATTTGTTCCCTTGTCTTGCCCAGATTCGAGGGCCAAATTACTCTGTCTCTGAACCATTATAAGGAATTAAGAAAAGGATTGTATTCGTGCAAGTACAAGTAAAAAAGATTGTACAATTTGTTTATAAACCTAACCAATAAATTAAATACATCTCTGCCCTTAGGGCCTTCAAATCTTTTCATGGGTCACTCTCTAGATCTATGTTTGATCATGTCGTTGATTTTATGATTCTATAATCTCAGTTTTGATCTTCCTACAAACAGTCAAAAAAAAAAATTTTAAAATCCAAGTGGACAAACATAACTCATTATATTTACTTCCCCCAAAATCAAAAACTCATTGTATTTTGTGTTTGTTAAAAAAATTTGATGACAATGTTTGTATGGGTGAGAATAAATTGGATAAGTTCAGATTATTATTGTGTCTGTGATCCTCGACGGTCCATTCAGATTAGTCAAGTTAACAATTGGACAAGGTATTGCATTTTGTATGGATTAGGATTAATATTGTATGGTTATAAGTAAGGGTGGCAAATGGGCAGGTTGGGTCGGATTTGGGCTGGGTTAAAATGGGCAGGTCAAATATGGGTCAATACCCAGATTCAACCCATTCAAAATGTATAAGGTCAACCCATTATGACCCGTTGACCCATTAATTATTATTTTATTTTTTAAAAATTATATTTAAAAAATATATAGGGTCAACCCGTTATGACTCATAGATCCATTAATTATTATTTTATTTTATTTTTTAAAAATTATATTTACAAAATGTATAGGCTCAACCAGTTAGGACCCATATTAATGTTTAAAAATAAAATTTTCTTAAAAAATTTGATGTTTATAAACATGGAAAAGGAAAATGTAATTTGCATATTTGTAAAAATAATAATAATAATAATAATGACCCATGAAACCTGCCTGAGCCACCCAAAATATTGATCTTTAAAAAATAAAATTTTCTTAAATATTCTAATGTTTACAAACATGGAAAAAGAAAATGTAATTTGTATATTTGTAAAATATACAAATATATATATATATTGACCCGTGAAACCCGACCGACCCGCCCAAACTTTTGATGTTTAAAAAATAAAAATTTCTTAAAAATTTTGATGTTTACAAATATGGAAAAAGAAAATGTAATTTGCATATTAAAAAAATAAATAAATAAATACTTGTGAAACCCGACCGACCCGCCCAAAATTTTGATGTTTAAAAAATAAAATTTTCTTAAAAAATTTGATATTTACAAACATGGAAAAGGAAAATATAATATGTATATTTGTCAAAAAAAAAAAAAAACAAAAACAAAAACAAAACGAAACAAGAAGAAGAAGACCTATGAAACCCGTATGGCCCACCCAAAATACGGGTTGGGATTGGGCTGGGTTGGGTCAGCCCAACTTACAGCCCTTCGTGAAAGAGAGAAATGAGTTGAGTGTAATATAGAATAGATATGTATTGTGTGTCTATTATGTGATGGGTGAAATATGGATTGAATATGGGTAATCATATCCAACTCATTTTGACCCTTAAATTAAGTTGATAAAAATTAACCAACCCATTTTTGACCCATATTAAATATAGTTCACTCATAACTATTAAAAAACGGGCGGATACGAGTGAGTTGATGGTTTCTGACCCGTTTTGCCACCCCTAATTATAAACATAAAATTGGTCCATGTTCTCACAATCCTAAGATTAAATAAATGTATCTCATGGGACAAATTGTGTAAAAGAAGAGCAGAAGGTGGGCTGAATTTTAGGGACATGGAGGCTCTCAATATTGGTGTATTGGCTAAATTGGCTTGGAGATTCGAAAAAATGGGTTAATTCTCTGTTGTATAAAATTTTTAAGCATAAATATTTTGTTGATTGCAGTTTTCTTGATTCTTTTTGTCCAGAGAAGTCTTCATGGGCATGGAGGAGTGTTTGTCATGCAAAAACTGTTATTAGAGAGGGTCTTCAGTGGAGGATAGGAAATGGTTACAGGGCTGATTGTTGGGAGAGTCAATGGCTTCCGGACAAAAGATTTCCTAAGGAGGGGTTTTATGCAACTAGCTCAATTGTGTGAATTTAGTTTAAAAATTCAATTTTTTTTTTTTTAATAAATAATAATATTTGAACTTATATTTATATTTTTTTTGTTATATGTATTAATATACTTTTAATTAAAGAAAAATATTAAAAATATAGTAATAAATTAAATTCATAGTTATGAGTGCAACTTATATGCATTATATATTTACTCATACTATATATTATATATACCATTATTATATTATTTATATTGTATTATTAATTTTATACAATGCGAATATATATATATATATATATATATATATATATATATGTGATGGACATTTGATTAAATAATTAGATCAACATAAATAAATTTTAATTACAAAAAATATTTAAATGACATAAAATAATGACTTCTCTCTGTTTGGTTGAATAAAAATTAAAAAAAAAAGGAAAAGAATACTCGCAGGATTCAACTATGCTAGATACAAATGAAATGGCACGTAATTATTCTCATAAGTATGAATTTCACTCTTAAAATTTTA